CTGTTTCTTTAAAGCAACATAAAAACAATGTGTTGTGTTCTTATAGCATATTCAGATGCAGCAAGAACACATTTTCTTCATAAAGGGAAATAATATTATTTAAAAGCAGGCTAGGATAAATTAAGATGCTCATTTTAATCTCAAATGCTACTCCTAAAAATAGCACAAAACAGCAGAGAATATCTTTGAGACCTCAGATCAGGCAGAGATTTCTTGGCATGGTACAAAATATACTAACCATAACAGAAAGTTTGAGAAGTAGGACATGAGCAAAATTTAAGATTTCTATTCATCAAACAACAATAGTAAGAAAATCAATAAGCCATCTAAAGTCTAGACAGAAGTATTCCAGAAAGAATTATTTGGAAAAGAATTATTTCCAGAATATATAAAGAACTCCCACAAATCAACAATAAAAAGATAACACAATAATAAAATACATAAATAGGATGACTAATAAGTACATAAAATATGTTCCATGTTATTAATCATTATGAAGATTCTAATTCAATTCACATGCAGATGCCATTTACTCCCACTAGAAGACCTAAAAACAAACCATGCGACAACTTCAAATACTGGCAAATACATGGAGCAACTGGACCTTCCTTGCACTGCTAGTAGAAGGGAAATTGGTACCATCACTTTGGGGAACAGCTATGGCCCAACAAGTCCAGAAATAGATATTTACTGAAGAGAAATGAAAACACAGACCAACAAATGACCCATACAAAAATGTTTATTGTGGGCTTATTCATATTTGCCACAAACTGGAAATGACACAAACGTCCATCAACAGAATAGGTAACAATTAATGGTATGTAAGGAATCTTACTCTACAATAGAAAAGAATGAACCACTGACTGATACACACAACAATAGAATGGATCTCTAAAATCTACAGTAACTGACAGAAGCCAGACCCTTCCTCCCAGACCAAATATGATTCTATTTATATGAAATTCAAGAACAGAAAAAACGACTTTGACTGGAGAGGGTCACAGGGGACTTCCTAGGGTGAAATAAATGTTCTTGATTTTGTTTGGGTGGTGATTACATGGGTATATAAAATACTCAGACTCATTGAAATGCACGTATAGGGACTGTGCATTGTTTTGTAAATAAGTTATACTTCAATAAGAAAGAACCAAAATAAATAAAATAACCCATACATGGAGAAATGTGCACCTGAATAATTACAGAGCTGGATGAATTGTCGCTTACTGGAAACACCCAGGTAACCAGCACCAATATGGAAAAACAGGGCATCACCCATGTGTCAGGCCACTCCTGTACCTGCCCCCTGTCTCTACCACCCTCGGTAACCACTATCCTGACATCGACTGCACAGAATAGTTTTCTCTGCTTTTGTATTCTTTGTAAACAGAATCATTTAGCATGTAGTCTTATAGCTGGCTTCTTTTATACAATCTTACCTTTGTGAGATTTATTCCTAAAATTATGTGTAGCTGTGGAGATATTTATTCTGAGAACTGTATTTTGTATAATCATCTCATTTGTATATATTTAGCCTCTCAGCATTTTAAGGTCCAGCTAGTCTTTGTTGCTTCCTAGTCTCAGGCGGTTGTCGGAAGGGTTGGGAGTATACTGTAATCACAGCAGACAGACCACAGCTGTTCTGTAGCAACTAAAAAATATAAATAAATTTCTGCAACACTTACAGAAAGCTGGACAAATTAATTTTCTCTGTACACATTTTATTTTACTGTGGCTCACTATTTTTTATAGAGGTATAATTTTTTTCTACAATGAAATGCATAGATCAGTCCAGTGTGTCTTGATAGTTATATATATCTAAGGAACAAAACAATTTATAAAACATTTCCTTCACCTCAGAAGTCCCCTTGTGCCTCCTTCCAGTCAAACCCCTCCTCCTAGAGACAACCATTTTCTGATAGTTGGACCATCCTGGACTCCTAAAAAATTCTATTTTCTCATAATATAACATGGATGTTAGATGTCACTAAATTGATACATTCACTTAGGGAAGAGAAAATAAATAGGTGATTAAAAGCTGCAGTTGACTGAATCACAGTCATAAATCAGCACACTGATGCCAAGCAAATCAGTCACCAACTTCCACGTTGTGAAAATACAAAGCTATTGAGCTACTGTTTCCAGTGAAATCCTCTGAGCTGCAGCAGAGACCTGAAGAGATATTTGCAATTTTTGAATAGCTACATTTTTGATATAAGAAAATAAGAATTCATGGTCTGGTGCATCTGACCTTATTTCGACTGGAGGGTGCAATATTCGAAAGCAAGATTTTTCTAACACTTACTATTGACTGCTGTTAGACACGTGATGCTGGACAATTTTTGTCAATCAGGAAACTTACTGTTGTAGCATTAAACAGACAAGAAACTTTATCCAGTGGAAATTTCCTTAGAAACCAATGCCTTGGAGTATAGGAAGAAAAGTCATGACAATTGAGAGTGAATAGTTTTATCTTCTTGTCTAGAAGAAAAATCTGAGTATATTTTACTGCAGATTTTGGCTGGAGGCAAAAAAATAAAAGCATACACTATACAAAAAGATGGATGACTATTTGTCCTCAGAAGTCACCATAATCATAAGAAATTGTATTTGTTTTGAAACTTACCAGTCCATCGTAGATGCACTGGTTGAAGATGGCAAACGGTTAAATTAATACTAATGTCCTACAATTCCATTTAACTCATACACGTGTCCAGATATAATGGCTGTGAATTAAATTACAAAAAGACTAAATAAACAAGTTAGACTCTCCCACCATGTAAACAAGCCATAGCATGACACAAGCCCATGGATAACAAGCTGCATTTCCTGTTGTGGCACAGAAGCTTCTTATAGCTCAGTCACGGTGTGTGCGCCCTGTGAGGCACAGGGCAGGTGTTTAGACCTGAATCTGAGACAGAGCAAGCACATTCACTCAGAGGAAGCACTTCCAACATGCTGTTCCCTAGCCTGCTGAGAGTAGTCATAGCCTCCATCTGCCTTGGTAAGGCTAAGAAGGATGGCCATAGACACAGACTCAAGCTCCTCTGAGTCCTGAGTCCGGGAGTAAAGACAGGTGGGGTTATTACTGTCTGGTGGGGTTTAGGAGAGGGAATAATGGGCAGAGGAATCAGAACTCTCAGTCCTACATGAGTTCCTTAAAACCCTAGGGATACTACCAGAAGAATCAGCTTAATTATCTCTTTTTTCTTTTTGCAGGATCCGGCATGACACAGAAGGTAACTCAAGCCCAGCCTGCCATTTCTACGCTGGAGAATGAGGCTGTGACCTTGGATTGTGTATACGAAGTTAGTGGTTCTAGTTATTATTTATTCTGGTACAAACAACCACCAAGTGGGGAAATGATTTTCCTTATTCATCAGGAGTCATACAGGGAGCAGAATGCAACAGAGGGTCGGTATTCTCTGAACTTCCAGAAATCAGACCGTTCCATCAGCCTCACCATCACGGCATTACAACCTGTGGACTCAGCAGTGTACTTCTGTGCTCTGAGAGACACCACAGTGATGCAGCACCGGTGGCAGCCCCACAAAAACCTCAGATCTCCATAGGAGGCATCCCCCACCTCTGAACACCTGGGAGAGTGGCAGAGCGGAAGGAAGAAGCAGGAGCTGTGCCTGGGGTGGTGGGGGTTCTGAGGTGAATGCTTCACTCGAAGGAAAATGCGATTTCTCTGGCTCAGAGAACATATCGAACAGTGTCATTCAACAAAAGCATCTTTATCTTCAATTCTTTACCTTGCAGGAGATCATTTAGCAAAAGATTAAAAAAAAAAAAACTTGGTGGTGATGATTACATTAAAATGGAAGACCCAAAATCTAAATGGCTTCCCAGTTTCGACCCGTAGTGCCAAAGTGGTCATACGGTGCCCAAATCTGTCCTGGTGTTGTAAAAGGGACTCTAGGAAGCGTCATTTGAAGGATTTAGTGTTTTCCACAGCCTGAAGCTGAGTCTGCTGCTCTGTCTGTCATATGGATGCACTTTTGCTCTGCAGAGCGCCCCCCTCCTTATGTCCTCTTCTGGTCACTACATGCTCTTCCAGGGAAACCACAATCCCATAGATAGATTCGTTTTGTCCGGTTTTGAACTTTATATAAATAAAAGACTAAAGTTTGTATTTTTTCTATCCTATCTGGATTCTTCTCTTAATATTCTATTTCTGAGATTCAGCCATGTTGCGTACAGTTTAGTTTCTTTTCACTGCTGTGTTAGTACACTACCGGTTAGCCATCTCCTACTTAAATGGTTATTTGGATTTTTCTAGTCCTTGGCTATTATCAACAGTGTTGTATGAATATTTTTATAGTGTTCTTTGGTGAACATAATTACATACTGCTTTTGGCATATATGTTGGAATTTCTGGATTAAAGGGTCTAGATACATCTGGCTTTAATTCCTCCACTAGTTAAAGTATCAGAAAGAGTACGAACAACCTCTGTGTTGTAGATCAACAGAAATTTTCAGTACTCATCATAGCTGACCTCTCAGAAACTTTTGACACTGAGTTGTGACCACTTACTCTTGTGATCACTTACTCTTAAAACTTTCTCTCCCTTTTCTCTGATGAACCACTTTGACACCTGTGCACACTCTCATCTCCTTTCCAATCACTAGCTGTTGGAAGTCCTCAAGGGTTAGCCCTGGGCCACCTCCTCTCCTTATATTATTCTCTCTATATATATATGACATTTTATTCATGTCTCTATGACTCACATATGTATATCTCTGTACCAGGCCTCACTATCTACTTTCTCTTACTTTACACTCAGTTAAAAAAAGTATGTCACTGGGATGTCATGTATATACACAGGTAAAAATAACAGAATAGTCAGCACCCTGGACATAGACATAGTAAAGTGAGAGAAATTGTTGTTGCAACCTAGCGTGACCCTCTAAATCCTCCAAACTCCATGACACTCATTTCAGGCTTTCTGAGCAATCTCTCGATTCTCCCTTAATGTGGCTGGAGGAAGATTGGAAATAGCACACCACCACAGATTCACTCCTATTCTCTCCAACCCCTTAGGGAATTCTCAGTTTTCTCATATACCTCGTATGTCTGGATAATAGGCTAAGGAAAGTTTAACAGTTGGGTTTTGTATATGTTTTGCAAGCATCCGCAAGCCTGTGTTGTGGTCTCTCTAAGTGTGTTCTCACGTATTGAGAGCTTTCTCCAAAGACCAAGACAAAAAGAAACATTGTAATTAATATAGACATATGTCTATATCTATGTGTATATATATATATATATTTTTTTAAATTCCTGTTATACCCATAACTGTGAGCTCCATAGAGTAAGGAAACCTGTATGTATTACACATTACACAGTACTTGGCACATAGTGGTTGCATATTAAATATTTATCCATTGAAGAATAAATTGACAACATCAACAGATACTGAGCTTCTATCATTTGGATGCCATTAGATAAGTATGGATTAATTATTTCTTGTATTTGCCCATTTCTATGACCATGAGAACACTCCTTCTGTTTGCATGTGCCATAAATTCCCTTTCTGTTTCTATAGATTTTTCTCGTATGACACTATTTCCGGTTTGCAATTTAGATGGTCTCTACCTTGTTGGCATAGATGGAGGCATCTTCATCACCTGAGTGAGGATATAGAAAGGATACCTGGATGTCTCTCATATGTGTATGCTGATTCCTCTTGGTTTAGGCTAGAGATGACATCCCTCTGATTTATCGCTTCTCTGGTTTGATCTCCAAAGGATTTGAGTCTCAAATATTTACCGTGGCTGGAGATATGCTTCCTGTAATACTATGGGTGGTGATGGCAGGGGGTGAGTGGTCCAGGCTGAAAGAAAATCACAGTTAACTCAGTTTTCTCTGTGTCCCCATACCTTTCAATTTCATCCTAATTTCGGGAACACAAATGAAATGACCTTTATACAATAGGTGTTCTCCATACACTAGATACTGCCCTTGTGTATAATTGGATTGGGTCAAATGATCTATTGCCACTTGTCTTTACCATCGCCATGGCGTGCTCTGCTTCACTGTATATTTTTTCTCTCAAGTCTAGTGACCTAGTTGATTTACTTAGCTTTTGGGTAGACATTCCTACCACTGGAAGTCCTAATCTAAGACTTAAGGAAAATGAGCCCGTTTTTCTAATTTCCTGATTCTGGTTCCAAAGGCTGAATTATTTCAATCAAGAATACTTTAAAGCTCCTGGATTCTTAGCCCTTAAGAAAACTTTTAAGAAGCTATTATCTTCAGTTGTAATATTGGTCTTTTTAAAATCCTCTCATGAGAGCAAAATCACCCCTGACCCTGGGATGGTAGGAAAAAGCATCACTATATCCTGGAGGAACTGAGCTATTTGGCCTTGGAAATGTGTCTGTGGAAAAAGATAGATAAAAACATGGAGTTTTAGCTAAAAGTAATAATAAAGAAGAGAGGTTTTTCATTCTTGGGACCATTTGTAGAGAATATTCTTTTCTTCCAGAAACATGTGTCCAATTACCAGGAAAGAACTTAAACACAGGAAGGAGAATCTCACTTTTAGTTCAGCTTAAAGTTTGGCTTTAAAGATGATAGATGGGCATTTTTCTCAGAGAATTTTAAAATTTAAAAGAATGCGAATGTTAGGAAATATTTCAGTTATCCTTTGTCGTAACATAGGTGTAACCACTTAGCAAATTTATACTAGAAAACATTTCAGAGGCTGATGAGTTTAGGAGGGGTTGGTTTGGGAATCATATTTTTAAATTTACCTTTTAGGTAGAGAAATCATGGTAAGTATAAAAGAAGAAATTTGCAGACTCACTCCTCTGTGAGAAGTCTTCAACTTACATTTTGGTTATGTTGCTTTGAGCTAGTTACATGATCAAAGTGAATAGGTAAAGCTTAAGACAAAGATAAGGACACATTCCTCTTTTTAAAAGAATCTTTAAAAAATTATACAAGTTAACTCAAAATGGATCATGGACTTAAATGCAAAATGTAAAATATGAAACTTTCAGAAGAAAACATAGGAGAAAATCTTTAAGACCTGGGGCTAGATTTGACAATAAAGTTCTTAGATTTGACACTAAAAGTATCATGCACACACACATGCGCACACATACTGGACTACATCAAAATTAAAACCTTTTCCTCTGCAA